GTCACATTATAATGCCCCCACGGCTGAAAGGGCGAGCATGTCGGTGTGACGGGGATTCGAACCCAAGACCCTCAGATTGGGAGTCGAGTGCCTTAACCACCTGGCCATGCCGGGCCCCAGGGTATAGTAGTAATCTTTAATAAAATCTTACCAATTGTTGTGTAAGTACATTAAGAAAACTCAGAGTTATTGTAGGTTTTGTTGAACTGTGTATCATTCTCCATATTAGCAATTACCCAATGAACTAAGCCCATAAACTTAGAATTAAAGAAAACACTCTGGAAACTGGAAAGAAGTTGAAAAAGAAGATAGATGTATAAGAAAAGGGTGGACTAATCCAGATGAAGAATTTGTGACAAAAAAAATGGAAGCTTGGTGTATAGCGGAGTCACAAATAAGAGAACCCCCAAAGTGGGAAAAAAATCCACAGTAACATCAAGAAATGTATGGACAACTCTGTCAGAAGGTTTCAGTCCAGATGAGATAGCTAATCAAGAACTAAATTAAAAAATCTCAGAACACAAATGACCAACTACCAGATGTCGTGAACCCTAAAGTGTAGCTCGAGAACATTTTAAGGGTCAATTAGGCAAAAAAAAAAAAACCAAAACATATTGATAATAGCTATATTTCAATAATACAGCAGTCATAATACTCCTTAACACCAAGCAGTTCCACAGGGACAAGTGGATCGGTCCCCAAATGACGTCCCACCAAAAGCATGAGAAGCATACTCCAACAGTTAGCTATTACTTGCAGAAAATGAATGTTAAAGTATAAATGTTAGCAAATAATGAGATGTATCAGGCAACCAGACATCTATAACCAGGTTCTTATAAAATTATATAGTACTATTAAAATGCAGATGAGAGTGGCTGAGCACTCAAGACTTTTTTTTTAAGTCCATAATAAACAAACAAATCAAATGAACAATCGTTGTTTGGTTTAATTAATTTTTACATGTAATTTTTATTTATGTTTTGAAGTTAGGTAGAGAGAAATTTATGTCAATTTTGTTTACTTGAATTTTTTTTATCAGCGAGTTATTTTAAAAAATTTAGATAAGGTAAAGATTACCCCCATTGTCCCAGAGGTGAAAACCACCAGTGACTCTATATATTGGAAATGTAAGGAACAGGTTGAGTCCACCCAGCAAACAAGGTGATAAAGACTCTTAAATCAAATACTGAATGGGAGTCAATATTGATTTAGGAGCTTGATCAGCCAATCCAAACAAACAGACACCCAAAAGATAAAGAAGGCTGTAGCAGATGATGCCTCTTGGTACAGGGATAGGAGAATTCCAAACTACAGGTCACAGAAGATGAGTCTTTAATTCAGTGAGGAAATGGCAATTGAAAGTCAACACAAAATAGAAATGA